AATAACTCTTTCATGCCTCTTTTATGTGAGATAATTTACCTCATTCTGTCTCCCCCCTCTTGTTCTCCCAATGTAATCTTCTTTCTCACCCACTCATTTTTTTTGTATCATCCCATCAAAGTCACCTTATATCCATACCCTCTGAAAATGTATGCTCCTTAAGAGTTATAAATATTATCTTGCCATGTAAGAATATAAACAGTTTAACTAAACTTACTGAATCTCTTATATTTTCTCTTTCATGTTTCTTTTTTTTTAACCTCTTCATGTTTTCCTTGAGCCTTTTATTTGAAGATCAAATTTTTTATTCAACTCTGGTCTTTTAATTAGGAGTGCTTGAAAGTCCTCTATTTCATTAAATATCAATTTTCCCCTTGAAGGATTATACTCAGTTTTGCTGGGTAGGTGATTCTTGGTTATAATTCTCACTCCTTTGCCTTCCAGAATATCATATTTCAAGCCCTCTAGTTCTTTAATATGGAAGCTGCTAAATCCTGTGTTATCCTGACTGTGGCTTTGTATTTGATTGAGAAAAAACTGAGAATCTTGATTCATAGAAATAAGTTATCATAAATGGAATTAAAATTTTGTGAATACTTTTAGTAAGAGTGGGCTATGCTTCTCTAAATTACCCCAAAAAGGTTGTGTCTTAATTGATGAAAAATCAATTCAGAGCTTTATGGTGAAGTTTCACTCAATACAGAGTGAACAAAGAAAAGAAAACCCAGTGAACAATTGAAGCTATGTAACATGTTAAAGGTTCTTCCCACAACAGCCAAAAATTGACTTTTGGAGGCAGAAGCAGCTGCCATACACTATAGAATCATGAGGAGGAATTATGAAGGCTTCCAGGTGAAAAGACATTTAATACTGGACAGAAGAAGATGACAAGTCCTGACAGTGAGTGACTTCTTGCTGGGGAAAGAATATAAAAGCAATCATAAGTATGACTAATTTGAGAGGTATCCTGTTTTCTTAGAACCTATTATCTAGAATGACTAGCCTCCTGAGACTTAACACCTGATGATTACTGCCCTCTTCCTGTGATTCATGAATGGTTCTTTGATTTAGAGTTAAAAATTACCTTAGAGGTCATTTAATAGACATATTTAGAGTTCAGACCTTAGAAGTTATCTAGTCAAACCCCTCATTTTAAAGAAGAGGGAATTGAGGTTCAGAGAGGTTAGGTGACTTTCCCAAGGCCATCTAGACAGTGACAGGGTTAGGATTCAGATCTGGGTCTTATGATTCCAAATTTAGTACTCCTTTAATTATACTATCATATTGCCAGACAGAATCTAGAAAATGTCTTCAAGGATTATAAAATTCTACACAGGAACCTAAAATCTTAGATGGTGTTTTTATCATTGCCATCATTTGAATATATGAAGAGAAAGGAAGATAGGGAAAATGAACAGCTTGCTAAGAAGATTATGCTCAAGAAAAGAATTTGGATTTCTAAATGATGGCTTAAGCTGAACTCTTGGATAAGGAAAGGAGTGTATGAGGGCTGAAATAATATAGTCGTCTGAAGACTTGCAGAATCAAAATAAAGATGACTTTAAACTGAAAACAGAGGAGAAACTACCTAATACCTAAACCACATACTGTGGACAGTAGCAAGTATGATAAAGGAAGAATAGCAATGGAAGTGTCCAGTAGAATGGAAGAAACAATATCTAGAAAGAGGAGTGGTAATAATTATCATTGTCTTAGATGTTTCTACAAAGATTATTTACAGAAATGTGCAGGTATAGGTAGTAAAGTGAAATTGAGATCTTAACACAAGATAATTGTGATCAAGAAAGTCTTAGGTATCATTGAAATGGGATATTTAGTCATCCCTGGAATATGGCAATGGAAGGCTATACTTCATTCAAAAGGAATAGAGTAAATAAAAGACATGGTGAGGTAATATTGTTTATCAGCATAATAAACTATGTAGAAATCCATGAACTAGACTATGGAATAATGGTGAAAAGGATTTATATGTGGATCAAAGGAGAGGGATACGGAAGTGATATTCTGGTGGAATTAGGATACAGGCCTCCTGGCCTGTAGAAAGTAGAATAAATGGACGATAAGTTTCAGAAACACATCCCAAGCTGACATGGAAGCAGAATATTGTAGTGATAGGACACTAGTTTATCCTGGAATTTTATATGCTAAAATTAAATCAGCCAAGAAATTATTGATTTACCTTGCTGATAATTTTATCCTTCATGAAGGAGAGTAAGGAAACTGCTACTCTAGATCTGATTTTGTCCAAGCACTTTCCTTCAACTGCTTTTTCCTCAGCCACACATAGTATTGGAATCTAAAAAAGAACTAAGAAACTAATGGAATATAAATAAAACTATAAAAAAAAGTAGGAACTGGTTGCTAAAATAGGATTCTCCTTGAAAGTGACCAGTCTGTCTCGTGGTTCCTGACAGATAAGAAGAGAAACAACAGTCATAGTCTGATGTGGACACTACACTTGAGGATAGTTTAGAGAAAAGTTGGCATAAGATTCTGTAAGGGAAATTAGTTCAGAAGGATAGAAGGCTCTTATCAATTCAATTGTGGTGACACAGATGGAATTTATGATAATGAGAAGAAAAGGGAGAATTAAAGAAACTTCTTAACTACATAGATCTCTCCTGTATCAACTCATTTATATAAGATAGACTCAAGGGCAGTCAACTGAGAATGAATACCAAACCGTTACACGTTTCTATAAGGAAGTCGGGAACAATAAATGCCATTGTCTGGATTCATGGGCCTTTGCTTGGATCAAGCTCCACTCTGTGCTCCTGAATGTTGTGTGCAGGCCCTGACTAGTCTTGAGTGTGGTGGCCAAGACTAGGCCACTCTTTAAGGTGCTCCAATTCTGCTCCAGTGCTGGGCTCTGCATAAGGCTTTCCCTCCATAAGCGGTTCTTGGGATTGTCTTTTATGTTAGGTTCTTCCCAGGGTCCATCCCCCGTGCTACTGGACTCAGAAGTTACCTCAGGACTGTGCCTACTTCTTGCCACAGGGCTCCCTGGCCACCTACCACCTTAGATTTCACTGTTGCCCTCCCTTCTTGCTGCTGGGCAAAGGGGCTAATCATGTGCTAGGTTCTTCCCAGGGCTTCCTTCTTGCCTCAGGGTTCTGGGCTGCCCTGTTTTGGGCTCTGCTGAGGCTCATCCTTCCTACAGCTGAGTTCTGGGGTTGTCCCTAGGCAGGGCTCCTGCCAAAGGGTTTCCAGGGCTAACTTTTGTCTAGGGACTTTCTTCTGCTAATGTGCTCAAGAGCTATCCCTTCCCTCATTGCAATCCTTGGTCTCCAGGTTTCTCTGTGCCATGCTTTCTACCCACCCCAGTGAGTCTGTAGGATTCCAGTGGTCCTTCTGTGCTTGTGTAGAAGAGCCTACAAGTGATTTCTCCTTATTTCTTTTAAAACTAGTACATTGTAAAGCTTTACTGGGATGTTTGTAGGGGGTCTGGGTCCCTTTAGGTCCTGGGAAGTTTCCATCGTCCTACCTTAAGTAACATTCCTAAAGCACAAGTCAAACCATGTCACTTTCTAATTCAATAAGCTCCAGAAACTTGCTTCTGCTTCTAGGACAGAATATTCTGTTTCCATCATTGACATTTAAAGCCCTTCACAGTCTAGTTTAAGCCTCTCTTTTCAGACTTATATTTCTCCCCTTCATGCATGTACTCTACAGTTCAACCAACTGACTTGCTGTTCTTCACACATGTCATTCCATCTCCTGTTTCCATTCTCTTGCACAGGCTATCCCTCATGTTTGGTTTGTCTTTTTTCACCTTTTGACTCATGAAAGTATCATTAACCATTTATGTCTCAGATTGTTTCTATGAGTGAGAGAAAGCAAGTGAAAGATGAAATGACTGAGGAAATAAAGGTTCGATCTTCTGCACATATTGATTTATTAAGCAGTGCATGGTGTTGCCACAGCTTAGGCTTAGACCCCAAATACGGGGGGAGACAGACTTTTATACATTAAAAACAGTCAGATAAGACCAATTAATTAAAAGGAAATAATACAACATTAGGTGATCTGATTTCAATTGGATGAAAGATTAGGGACTGTCCAAGTTGGGAGGAGGAGAATGAACAGGTGCAATTACCTAAAATCAGAAAAGGAGTTGTGCCTTTGGAACTCCCCCTAAGTGTCTGTAAACAATCAAAGGGACATGGAAACAATAACTGATGGATCAGTACAGGGCCAGTTTTCAGATAAGATATATGGGTTGCTTGAGATGTACAATTGTGAGAAAACTCTTTGTATCAGTCTTTGGGTCTGACTAAGTTTCTGGTCAACATAACCCAAGTCCTTACTTAAGGATCTCTAAACAGTAGGTAGAGGTGATCCAGTTTCCCAGGCACATAGGCCTAGGTTCAAACAGTGCAAGCAGTGCAATTCCCACAATTGAATAGTTTTCTGACAAGATAGAAATTGGACTAGACCCATAATTGAACAGAAAAGGAACTGAGCCAACTCCCCTCCAGAACTGAGTCACAAGATGGAGTCAATGTGGTTAACTCAAGTCCCACAATTAATCACTTGCTGCCCTAAGCCCCTCAATTCCTTCAGTTATAGCCCAGCACTTGTAACTCTTTTTTTTCCCTCAGTCACACTCATCATTGAAACTTGAAAAAGAATGAAAAAACTTAGGGAATATAAATTTTTAAAAAACGATAAAAATAATACAGAGTAGATTTTATGGAATCTGAGGCCCCCAAAGGTTCTCAGTTCTCCCATCCTTTTATCCACTTCATCAAAAACCAGCCACAGATGGTATAATTGACACTGCTCCTGGGTGAGGGTGAATTTTCTATGCACTTGAAATCTGGGTTTTCTTTCCAAACCCATTCTTCTTCCCCACTTTCTAGTAGCCCAGTGTCTCCCATATTCCTCCAAGGGACAAGCTAGAGAAAGGGGTGGCTCTGGGAAGAATGGGGACCTTAACTGTCCTTTGCCCAAACTTCTGTACTTTATTTTGTTTCTAGATATCAGTAGCCTGCAAGACGGAATTCAAGAAAGCCTGCAGATACTACTCAAAATCTTGAACTCCCATTATGCTAGGAATATCCAGGATCAAGCCCAGGAATGGGTGGCCATCTTTCAGGGCCTACGTGAGTGCTGAGGGGTCCACAGAGAGAGAGGGGCATTAAGAGATATAGGGGAATGAAAAGGTGTGTGTGTGTGTGTGTGTGTGTGTGTGTGTGTGTGTGTGTGTGTGTGTGTGTGTATGTGTGTAAGGGGATTGGGGTAAGATGAGAGAGTAAGAGCTCTTGAGGGAAGGAGGAGGATGTAAGGCAGTAAGAGGCCTAGAAAGATATCTGAGACTGTAAGAGATGAGGTTCTATGGACACAGCTCCCATGTTATGGACCACAGGGACTGATCCATCAGCTTCAGTTTTTGGTTCCATCAACCATTAAAGAGAAGCTGTGCTATAACCAGAGAAGGGTAATCAATGTAGGGGCATGTCTTATTTTCATCACTACTGCCAAATGAAAGGAAAGAAGGGTATATGGTAAGGAAAAACCTGGATAAGAAGTTGGTTTCAGAGAAGGGGATTTTGCTTTCTGAGTCAATGTAAAAGACGGAATAATGGGCTCTTGGCCAGAGATTAAGTACATCAGAGGAGGACCAGAAAGAATATATTTGTCTAGAAACTATCTGCCTAATCAAGAGGGCTTTAAGCTTTAAAAACAGAAGGGAGATGGGAGAAAAATATTCAGATATAGCAGATAAACCAGATTCCACAAAGAGTAGCAGCTGTGACATAATAATAACTAATATATATACACACACACACATATATAGTATATAGATAGCATGTATAACTTACTATGTGCCAAACACTGTGCGAAACACTTTACAAACATTATCTCATATGATCCTCATAATAACCCAGGTGCTATTATTATCCCCATTTTACAGTTGAGAAAATTGAGGCAGTTAAAGGTTAAGTGACTTGCCCAGGGCCCTGCAGCTAGTAAGTGTCTGAGATTAGTTGTGAACTCAGGTCTTCCTGACTCTATCCACTGCACCAGGTAGAGGACATGAAAAGAAAAATCAGAAGCAAAAATATTCACAGAAAGCAATGATGGGGAATAGGGGCAGAAGTGATATCCATGGATTCAGCTGTCTATATAAAAATGAAGAGAGTATGAGTAATAAGCAGGATGAGTTAGAACTCTTGACATAAGATTAATACCTTGGTAGTAAATGTGCCCCTATAGTTAATACACTGAAATTTGGTGGGATGCTTGTCATGACTAGAATAACAGTGGGAAAATATATCTTTGTTTAGAAGGATTGGATCAAGATAGGGTTGGGTAGGGGTGGCATTTCATGTCATAAAACTATTTACTGGTAAGGAAGCCTACAAACTAGAGTGAAGAAACGTAATTGAGAACATTTGGTTGACACTCAAAGGATGGAAGAAACAGATGATTGATATTTTGGTGAAGAATCTGTTACCACGGCCAAAGTACGTATGTCTGTCTGAATGCATGAAGAGTTCCTAATGTAAACCATGAAGTTGGCACAGAGGCCGGATATAGTTTAGTGTTGGGGGAATTAAACTTACTTTCTGGACACTAGATATATCTTTCTTCAGATAGCAGTTGTCTGATAAAGTTTTGACTTGGCGATTTCTTCTCTCAGAGGAGGTATTATTCACTGCCTGATTCTGAAAAGTGACAAATTGGTTGGTGAAATAGAAAGAATAGGAACTTCAGAGGGAAGTGACTATGCAATCTATGTTTGTGATGGAAAATTCCAGTCAGTCTGAAATGAACTCTAGATCTTGGAGAATTTTAACAAGTTCATTAAAAAGATAGATATGCCACAACACAGTATTCTACAGGTAAAATCAAATCAAGAAGAATAGGCCAGGGACAGCTAGGTGGCACAGTGGATAGAGCTCTGGCCTTGGAGTCAGGAAGATCTGAGTTCAAATCTGGTCTCAGACACATAACACTTATTAGCTGTGTGACCCTGGGCAAGTCACTTAATCCTGAATGCCTCACCAAAAAGCAAAAAAAGAAGAAGAAGAAGAAGAAGAAGAAGAAGAAGAAGAAGAAGAAGAAGAA